GACTATAAACTTTGTCTTCCCAATGTTAGTTTTCGGACCCATTGTTGCATTACTAACCAATTCAATCTGATCTGAAGATCATTAGCACTGCCTCCAAGCATCGCGGTGTCATATTGGACCAGTTTTCAAAAATGTATTTGTCAATGACGTTCATTTCTGTTCAGTTTATTCTAGAAGTCAAAATTCGATGTAGATTTTGATGACGAAGTTAACTGGAGAAACATAAAAAACTTTGAAATTATAATTTTGGTTAAAAGTAAAATCCTTTGTTCGTTCGATAAACGCGAATGGAGGTGTAACAAAATTTGAAGGGCACCTTTTGGCAAAATTTTATGTATTTTAAGCAAGCAATGAGGAAGGTATACTTTATAAAACTAGACTAGAACATAAAGCGTCATTTGAGCAATATTTGAGCTAACTTACGCTCATCGTCGGGTGTAGGTGTAACGAGCTTCCTCATAGAGCGTCAATTTCAACCCCCGCCGGCCCCGATATGCACACACGTTCGTTCGTCAGCGATCTCATATTGATAATTAAGCTGCAAATAGATGGAAATTTTAGCTATTCGACCCAGCGACACGTGTAGTGTAGGAATCGTCAATGGGCGACTTTCATTCAGACTTCCCGGCCTATTTTCCACTCCCACACTCGAACTAATCCGCACGTCGCTTGTTTTGCTACAGTTTTGTGAAACCTGCCGTCAAATTGCCCTGACATTTATCTCTTTGTCGCGATTTGATTGCGCGCTTTGGAAATTCCGCCCTGGTGATTTTGTCTGACCAAATAAGAAATTGTGTCGAGAGGCCCTATTTTCACTCCAATCGGATCAAGTGTAAAGACACCGTAAGGCAATGGTGCAGGATCAGTAAGAGGTAGGATTACTTGGTATAGATCCAAATGAAAGAAAATGTAAGGAAAACACTGTGTTCTGAATACTAGGGTTAATTGGAGGAAGTAAAAGTTTTACTTGGCAAGAATGGACAAATTCATTTGGTAAAATTAATGAAATAATAACCGAATCTGCAAAAGCCCATTATGAAGAAAATACCAGAGTTTTCTAAGATAAAGAAATTAATGATGCATCTAGATCTAGTAGAATAGTAAAACCTCCAGAAGATTTACCTTCCGTAGGTTCCTAGTATCTGTTAATATACAACCCAGATAAGTATATTTGTTTGTAGGATTTCTGGTGTCGCTTGAGGAGGTGATTTATTAATCAACATGTACAGGGTGACCCGTTTAAGAGGGACCTATACCTTATATCGAAAACTACAGGGGTTACAAAAAAAATTAAATATAAAAGTTGTTTCTAGTAAGATGACCTTTTTTTTATTTTCCTAATCGTCCCTTTTTTATATACAGGGTGGTGAAACAAAGTTACAATTTTTTTATAGAACGCCTTTCATTTTATTGCATTTTGGGATAGCGCTTTCAAAGACATATTCAACGATATATATGTGATGCACCGTTTCGAACTTATTACCGATTATCTTTAACTTATTATTATTAACTTTTTAAACTTTTTACGAAAATAATGATTTTCCTTAGGCAATGATCAAATTTAAAATATTTTCTTAAAATATGCTGTATTGCTATGTTTCCCAAAATGATGCTTTTCTCATTTTTTTTAAATGGGACACTCATCAAACATGTTTAAAAATTAACATTTATAAAATTAAAAATGTGTTTTTGAAGTAAACAAGCAGGAGCGAAGATCCGTGAAAGTACGGTGCGCAATCTGGAGATCTAGAATTTTAGGACTCATATTTTATCAAGAAAATTTTACATAATAATATTCCCCAAAGAGAGCATCCAAATTTAATTTGGATGCAAGATGACGCTCCTTACCATCGAAATGCTGCAATCATTTACTTTTTAAATGAAAATTTCAGAGAGTGGATTGGACAAAACGGGATCATCTCCTGGCCAGAAAGGCGTCCAGATTTGACACCGATGGACTTTTTTTTGTGGAGCACATTGAAAGATAAACCGTCAACAGTTTTAGAAGTTCAAGAATTCAAATATCATATAGTAATAGCATATACAACTTGTATTCTTCAAAACGGCTTTTAAGTTATATGCATTAGTAGTCAGTGTTAATTTTTTGTAATCATTTCACGTAGACATTTAAACGTAGAAATAAGTAATTTGAGAAGTTTGGTAACATTGTACAAAACTTAACTTGCTTCTTAACAATGCTCAAAAACGGTTGTGAACAAGTTGATAAGGAGTGCAATGCAATAAAATGTATAAGAGATAAGGTATAGGCTCCTCTAAAACGGGCCACTCTGTACTTGGTCTTTTTTGGGTTAAGTTGAAGGCCATATTCTAGGCTCGATTCAGTGACTCGGTCTCAGAGTTGTTGTAGGCCATTGATGTTGTTGGCTATAAATACAGTGTCGTCGGCGTAGCGTAGATCGTATGGTAAGGTCACCCTAAAACCGTATTGGATTTCGTCTAGTACCTTTCTCAGTATATATTCGGAGTACGAACTGAATAGTACGCACACCTATCTTAGTCCTTAAAAAATTTCGATCTGATCTGATAGTTCGTTGTCTACCCTTATTCCAGATTTTTGTCCTCAATACACGTTAGTAATGGTTCTGTCCAGTTTTTCTCATTTTCGCATGTTACCATTAATCGAATGCTTTAGCGTAGTCTAAGCAACACGCCTGTATATCTGAGGGATTCACATAAACACGATCTTTAACAAAGCTCCACGAAAAGAAATCTAGTCGTGTTAATTATGCGGAGGAGCTCCATCTTGCGGAAACCCCATTTGATGGATATCAATGTTACCAACTTCTTGATGAAATTGAGGTAAATTGAATTTGAAAAAAGTTTAAATATCTAGGTCTGTTATGTGAATCGCCAAAAAAAATATGGCACAATAACTTTCTAAGTGTTTTATTCCAATAGCACACATTAAGTTACCAATGGTTTTGGTTTTGCACTTCCCGTACCCAGAAATTATTAACTATTAAATAATAACCACGTTTGACTGTTCGATGATTGCGAAAAGTAGCTTCATCGGAAATCACTATTTTAGACAAAAAACTGGGATATTTACTTGGGTACTTAATAATAATAATATGGCTTGACATGGCCAAACAAGTAGCAGTACTTATCAGGGGTATTATACTCATATCATGTGATGCGTTAACTACCAGGGTTCTATCCTTCTATCCTTGGAGGCTCAGGGATCAAGACGATATAGAACGTGTTCAAGTGAACTTTTCTAAAACAATTTAACTGATTAATTGAGATTCTATCATTTAGCAGACAAAGGTCTCCTCAAATTTAGACGTTTAATTGTGCTTTTCAATTCAAAGCGATTATCTAAAAAGAAACAAGAATAATTTGTTGCTTAAATTAAAAAAAAAATCTGTACTGAGCGAGATCTTTTCAAACTGTTTATCTCGTGTCCATACATCCATATTAAGTTCGACAGCTATGTACTTCTAATACTAAGCATCTTTAACTAAATTTTGACGGAGTGTCATACTTCGTGGATCTCAATGAAATTTGCAGCATATGTAACGAGAATACTAAACAATCATTTCAGCATTTTTTTTTTGAACATGCTATAGGTTGGTCCTTGAAAACAAAACTATCTATAATTTTAACAATTTTGTCTATTACTTGGATCACCGAGTTATCTTTGCATCTTCGCTTTTCGTATTCGTATTCGTATAATGGAAATTAATTGCTTCTTGTTGCTGACTTTGCTCTAGTATTAAGTTTATGTGTTATACTCCAGACAGAGCAGTTGTGGAGTTGACGTAATCAAAAATGATCCGTATGTCTTAGCTATATTGCTACCATTTTTAGATGATATTTCGTTTCTCTTCTTTTTTGTTATGTAACGTTGAAACTCTTAATATGAGTTAGAGGCAATAAATCTATTGTTTATTGTCTAACCAACTAAATAGGAATGTGATCTGGAAGGAGGGTTTTGCCATTTTTAGTAAGAATATGACATCTGATTGGATAATTTCTGTTCCTTCTGACATGGAATGTTTTTCAAAGTGAAGCCCCTTTAATTTTTCAAAGAAACTTCCACAGGCTACTATAATACTATTTACAAATCTTTTGGATCCTTCCTGCGTCGGTTATTTATGAATAAAACTTGCTGAAGTTTCGCCATCCTGCCTGCCTGCTCTGAACAGTCAACAGAATCATTGGCGAAACGTCAGAAAGTTTGATTTAGAAACGGTGGAGGAATCCAGAAGATTTTTAAATAATATTATAGCAACCTGTGGCAGAGGATTAAAACTACGACAAATAAAACATCAAATCTTATTCGATAACGCTGAAATTCCTGCATGTAATCAATTCTTCTACAAAAAAAAAAGCGAAAATCCATCGAATTTTATAAGCTAACTGCAACCTTTGACCAATGCGGGAATCAGTCATCCGAAACAATGTTCATACCCCTCCTTTAACTCCGCCTCCATCAAACAATATATTAGGAGGTACAGAGTGGAATGCGAGCGTCTTTCAGTTAACCGCTGAAGAAGCCAACAGGTTGATTGGCGAAACGTCAGCAATTTTGAGTTATAAACAACCAACTCAGGAGGAATCCAGAAGATGTAAATACTATGACACCCCTTTTGTAGAGATCATAGCAAACACAGAATACAATACAAGCCCCAGCTGTTAAAAGCAGGCAATTAAACGCAGGAAGCTAAATTATCTAGGCCACATAATGATGAATGCAACAAAATTGAATGCAACCAACATAGGACCATGAAGAAGAAAAATATCTTTGATGGACAACCTGCGCAAATGGTATGAAGTCACAACCGTTCAACTGTTTCGAAGAGCTGTTTGAAAAGTCTGTATTGCCCATGATGATGGTGGCTAATATCCGTAACGGATAAAGCAAATTAAGAAAAAGAAGGTTACTAGGTTCTCGCTGTGGGAGAAGTATAAGTGTGCTGGTGTCATTTTTCTGAACACCTGGTCTAATTAGTTACTTCTGTTTTGAAGTAGTAGGTCATAATCAAACAATATATTGGCATAATTTTCTACAAGTTTGGATGCAACAACGTTCATATCAAACCGGCACCTCGACTATCCTCCTCTCCTTGATAACCCTTTTGTACCAATCCGCTGACAGTTTTGGCGTCCTCTTTCTTGACGGATCGGTGAAGTTGACGTGATACAAACCGAATTTTTCACTGGAAACGATAGTGTTTCATTGATTTATTCATCACACCCAAGCATATAACCTCATTGAACGGCACTAACAAAATTACCTCACCTGAAGCCGGCTACCCACTCGAAGTTGTCGAATAGAGACCACACTGTATACGCTTCCACGTCGACGCTGTCTTCGTAGACTGCTTCTAAAATAGCCGACAGGTAACCCTAAAACCATCCGTGTTAGTGGCCAACATTTCCAACTTCAACTAGCTTCAACCTGCAAGTACTTTATCCGATCCACATCCGCCAGTTCCCCGCGATCCGAGAAGCCATTTTCGCTAATGATTATGGGAAAGTCGTCATAAGTGTCTTTTATCCACTTGAGCATTTTTCTCGCACCTTCCGGGTAAACTTTCAACCAATGAGATGCGGACCCTGACCATTTTTCGTCTTGCGATATCTTAACTCCCAAATCTTTGTCATACGACGGCTTCTCCGTGGACCTGTTGAAGTCTTCTACCAAGTACGTGGTGTACAAGTTGAGACCGAGAAAGTCGTATGTGCCTTGGACGTAAGCGACTTCTTCCGAGGAAAATTGAGGCAGTTTCGACCGCATATAGCCTTCTTGCTTGTTTGTTTTCTCTATCCTTTCCATTACTCTGGCTGGGTAGTTACCGTCCGGGTGAAAAATCGGATGCAGAAACATGCCGACCTAAAATGTTACCATCGAAATGTGCGCTGACCTGTGAAGTACTAGACCTACCTGGAAATCTCTAGTCCTTTCGGCTGCCTCTCTGTTGACTTTCTGAAAACCTCTGGGTTCGTACCAACGTCCGTCTACCGTTATCCCGACGGTACCTAGGAGTCAAATTTTTCACGCCAAGGGATTGGTTTCTCGGTTGTGTTTACCTTTCTGCTTCAACCGAAACTCATTGTCATAAAGATGGTAAGCCTTGGCGTGTGCCAATAGAGTTACGTGGACGCAAAAGTATTTCGCCACTGGAGGGTCTTTCATGAACGGTGGGAAGTCCTCGTCTCCGTATCTAACAAATAAAGGCGTCACTTTGGTAGAGCAAAATCAGTCATCCAAATATTGGTGGACAAACAAATGCAGTAGGAATCATGGTAGGTCTACTGACAGGCTACTGTCAGCTTAAGAGCCATTTAAGCTTAGTAGCTCTCTAAAAAAGGCAATCCTCATCGAATACGAAAACCATAGACCGACCAGTCTCTTTGCAATTTATCGAGCTCTACTGTACTCTGGAAGGAGTTGACAAAAACGAGAAAGTTGCTGGGCTTTTCTTTCACTCGTTTGAGACCATTGATCGCGACATTCTTTTGAACAAGCTAAACAAGTACATGGTATAAGGAATGGGGAATAAACTCTTACAATCTTAAGTTCCTTTCAGAAAACAGTTAAATAACAACCAAAGCATGAGACGTCAATACACCAAGGCGTGCCGCAAGGGTGTGTGCTTGGCCCCTGCCCTATGCAAATGTGAAGGCTTTGAGGCTTTGGGAGATGGGAGAATGGTGTTTCTCTCTCAACGGTTAAAAAATATCCTTAATTATTTCAAAAAAACTATAGTCTGTATGAAAATATGTACATACACACTAGAAATAGAAAAAACCCGCAGATTCCAGCTCATAGCTAAATTTCTTTGAAGACAGGCCTCACAATCAGACTATAAAAGCTTATGAAATTGTCTACTGATATTGAGAATACAAGTGACTGTGATAAAATTACACAAACTTAAAACCGTTTTTTTTTTTCATAAACTACTGTAAAACTATTTACAAATCTGAACTGAACCGTTTCAGTTAAGTTTTGAAGAAAAAAACAGGATAATTTCGATTTTTAATCTTTTAACATTTTTTATTTTTTTTTCTTGATTTGTTATTTTTACCTAACCTATTTCTTCATGTTGTCAACTGTATGCCTACCTGGCTGTAGGTATATCTGCATTTACATTTAAATTTTTATCATATTATTGTTATTATTAAATTACTTTAGTGTCTGTATATTTAACTTTAGCTTTAACTTAACATTTGTGATTGCGAGTTTCCTGGCGACCCCGTATAAATATAAAAGAAAGATTAATTGATATTTTTTGATAATTTGTTTGTTAGCTAACAATATACGTAGGAAAATATATAGTTTTAGAATTCGTTTTGAGACAAACAAAAATCTAAAATTAAAAATTGCACAAAAAGTTGTAAAAATGTATTTATTCTAGTTTCATTAATTATATGCACTATTTTTCATCAAAATTACATTTTTTGCCATATATTCTAAAATGTAATGAGATTGAAGTGCCTGTTTTTTTTTATTATATAACACATTAAATCTTGGTGGCATGTTTGACACTAGTGCATGTAAGACCCCTTCAATATTTTGGAAGTTAAAGCTGACAAAATAATTTAACTTAAATATGGGGTGTTGAATGTCAAAAGAAAATTTAAAGCCATATCAGCGATTGTTCTAGTTCTGATCTAGAATTCAGTCAAGGGTTTTTTTGGAAATTGTAGTTTTATGCTAGCCTCTCGAAATCTCAGCAAATTCCTCTTGAGCTTTAAGGAGCAGGTGATCATCTCACTTAAGATCATCTAAAAAGGCTTCTGACTCCGAGCTATTGATTTTTGAAATCAATATTTAATATAAAATATCCAGAAAATTGCATTTCCAGCAGTTTTAAGTGATCTACAATAATTTTTGCAATAAAACTTTTACAATGATTGTTTTATTATAAAATTGTCGATAGTCATAACAGCAAGTTCATGTTTTAGTTCGGTTAAAAATATTTCGATTTCGTCATTTAACAACGATAATCTTCTTAAACTTTGACCATCTTATTTCTGTAAGTAATAATGAAGTTGTGTAGCTGGTATCCGTCTCCTTAGAGACATTCGAAAATAAGCGGATGTTAAGGGCATAGACAGCATATTTTTTCCTGCAAGGGTCTGTCGGTGAACAACGCAATGAGTAAAACTTGTATGATTATGATCAGCAGCTTGAAAAAATGATTTAAAATCAATAAATTTGCACCGTCATTACACACATTACATATTCTAAGCAGTCTTTTCTGTAGTATCAACTTTCTTTCACAGGACGCTTTCTTTATAAGCGTACCTGACATATACTAACAACTGAGCCAATTGAGTTGTTTCATGTAACTGAATTATTCTTTGTGGGTATTTCTTTTTTTAAATAAGAAGAGTGAATTTTTCTTCGAATTACATTTTTGATATCTTTGTGAAGGACTTTTGCTAGTCTGTCTAGATCTACAGTCTTGCGTGCCATGAAAGTATTGGCTTTCTTTAATTCTTTTAATAAGTTGCACTAATTCTATTCGAGACAGGCTCGATCGACAAATGAATTTTTTAAATATCATTGCCATCATCCATATAGTATTTCTACAGTTTTAATAGCAGCTGGTAATACAAAATCTTCTCCGGTGGTGAACTGCTTTTTTTATTTGACAATACAGATGGTATGGAACTTTGTATGACGCTAATAAATATTTTTCATTAACGGCCACAAATTTTCCGAATAATTTTTTTCCTTATTTAAAGATTTATAGTTTTTCAAAATATTCTTTTGGTTTATTGACACACTAAACATGCTTTGATTCAAGATTTTTGATGGTTTCATACAATTGCAATTTTGAAATGTAAAGACAAATTGAAGAAAAGGCTACTCATATTTCCGTTTTCACACATTAGATGCTTATCCTTCAATACTTTGTCCTGCCTGAGGAGAGTTTGTATCATTATAAATAACTCTCACTCATGTTAAGGGTTTGTAATGCATACTTGGGGTAATAAGTTAAGATTTTCTTTGTAAGAGAGGCATTTCAAAAATTTTCTCTGTAAACTTTCAATCCTAGTTTTGTATACATTATTTTTAGGGCTCCAAATAAGCGTGGTAGAGACTAAGATCAGCGCGAGCGCTCTTGAACAATTTTACTCGTCTATTAATGAAGCCTAGCATTTGAAAACAGATATGATATGATGACCCTGTGGGTTCGCGACTTATAGTTTAAAAAAGCGTGCGCTATAGTTATGAAGAGAGTTACAATTGACAAATTGAGGTTGTGAATATTTACCCAGGGCAAGCAGCGTTCATCGTTATCCAGTGCTTCACTCTGTCTCCGAAATGGGTGAACAGTATCCTAGCGTAGTCCTCGAAGTAATAAACCATGTAGGGATTAGTCCATCCTCCGAGGTTCTGCAGTACCATCGGCAAGTCGTAATGGTACATGGTTACCACAGGTCTGATACCTGTAATGGTTGGTGTTTTACTGTTATTTTCCATTCAAGCCTCGTACCTTTTGCAATCAGTTCGTCTATTAGCGAATTGTAGTATTTCACGCCCTCTTGGTTTACGTTATTCGCCAGACCGTCGGGTAGGATCCTGGACCACGCGATGGAAAATCTGTAAAAACTAACTCCCAGATCGCTTAGGAGGTTCACATCGTCTCTCCATTTATTTACGGAATCGCAAAAAGATCGGTCCCCGAGGCTGGAGTTGTGGAAGAGTTGTGGATCCGTTTCTCTGTACCGATCCCAAACGGTCTCTCCGGCACCTGGAGGAATTAGAATATAATATTGGGAGGTGAAAGAATATATAAAACCATAAATATACCACTACCTTTCGCATTTTGGCTTCCCTCTATTTGGTACGCGCTGGTGGCGACCCCAAACAGGAATCCGTCCGGAAAAGTCGATTTCTCTTGAGCCTTTATTTCAATTTCAGCGCCACTGAAACACCACGATGTCAAATGATTGTCGAATACGAAAACGGCTACCACCTTATGGCCCAATTGGCCAAGCAAAAAATTAGAAGACCGCGGCACATATCCGAAAGTCGAAAGAAATCCTTATCGACTGCGTGTTTACATAACGGTTTAAGCGCTTCTATCGCAATTTTGTTTATTACTTTTATCGCAAACAAGCCTGTATTTTTCTAAACATGGCCTCCTTTGACATACGAATATTGGTCGGTGAGAACAAATCTTACATCTCCAAGCAAGTAGTTTCAGATAAGAGAGAAAGGAGAGACATATAGGAAAAAAAGAAAAAGGGTTTTTATTTTTGGGATTTATTTTGCCTTTCTTTTTCATAAAATTACTAATTTCTCTTATCTTCTCTCTTATGTATATTCTTGCACTTTTGACGAACATGCTTTTGCTTTTTTTGCGATATTTTTCCATTTCCATCGAATTGAATACTAAAAATTAACTAACCAAAATCTTTTAAAAATATTTTTTTTTTGGTTGCATGTTCCTTAGCTTAATAGTCTAAAATCCAATAGTATATATAGTATATCTAAACGACAGTTTGTTGTTGGTGTGGAAATTTTATTTCAGATCGTATTAATAAAAAATTAGCGATCTAAAGAAAGTTAATCTCACTCTCTTGTCTGGCTGATATACTATATCGATATTGATAATATTGACCATAGATTACCGTTTATAATGACAATATTAAGTGGCATAATTAATTTAATGCACCTTTAAAACCCGTCACTTTCTTTAAACAAACAGATGCAACATGCGTTAAATAGTAGTTCACAAGGGATGTGAGAGTCCTTAAAGTATCTGAATATCATTAGCATCAAGAGAAAATCAATTATTCCACCTCTACTAAGATCACACATATATTGCTTCTTTCCAAAAAGAAAAGTCCCACAAGTTGTAGTGAATTACGCCCTATTACTACTTTATCAGTAGTTTCCAAAATTCTGGAATATGATTTTTAAAAAGCAACTAATTGATCATTTGCATAAAAATAGTATTCTGCGTGAAACTGGGACAGGCTTTAGGAAGGGGCACAGTTATGTAACTGCTCTTTTAAAGGTACTATCTTGGTCATGTTGGATTTTGTATTACTCTAAGGTATTTAATACCTTGAATTATCATAATGATTCTAAAATATATAGGGCTTAATGACGGTGCTGTCGAATTTTTGAGGAATTAGCTACAAGTTCTTACACAAAAAGTAGTTCAAAAATGCTACAACAACAATTAGACTGCCGAGGTATAATATTTGAGTTGCCAATGTATGTATGAAGATAAAATTTTGGAATGCCGTTAACTCATAAATAATGATTTAATAGTTAATAGGGTGTTTCTAGAAAATCTAAACCCAAAAAAATCTACAGCAATGTTGTTTTGGTAGGGTAGTGTATGCCGTTCAATTTTCTCAATTAGTTAAGATTTAATGGTCACGTTTCACAATTAGAAAATGCTTATTTGGTTCTATACATATTTTAAACAAATCATTAATGACAATCCTGTGTGATTCGAACATTTTATCTTATTTCAAGCACCGAGACATCGTCTACGGTCGCTGTTTCACAGCGGCTGTCTCAGAAATACTTTTTATGAATCATTTCTGGAATTAAACGACTTAGTCATAAACTATACCCGATGGCCTAATCTTTATCACACAATTATGTGATCGATGTCTTCACACTATCTTTTGAAAAAAATCACATGGAGCCTCACATAGGTTATTTACATATGACATGACTAAAACAATACTTTTTCCACACACCCGCGTGAATTATTTTCACTGAATATTTAAATAATTTTTTAAATAAAATTGATCGAATCCCACTATTTTTTGTTGTATTTTTTATGTCTATCTTTCCTGCCTAACGTTGCTACTTTTTTTTTTAAAGATAGGTTTGAAAATTGAGACTCGAAATATTTTATTTTGAACAGCCTCTTTTTTATTGTATATTATATTCGTAAATAAAGTCATTAATTAATTTTTAATCCATTTTTTTTAAGAAAGCAGCTTAGCGAAAATTTCCAAAAAAACATTATATTTTATATCTTCTAATTTCTAGAAAAAATAGAATAATAAATATTTCCGGAAATATAGTAATAAATAAATAATAAATAAGATCAAGCTCACGTCAATTTAAAATAACAGCTTAATTTCTTTAGTGTTGTGGGGCCATAACCTACTAGTGAGTTTTAATTACTAAATGGTCTAGTAAGTATATATCAAAAAATTTAAGGGTTGATTAAATTGGAGAAATTATTTTTATAAATTTTCCTAAACAACTTAATTTTAATTTAGTTCACTCATTACTCGTATTTTTAGACCAAATTTGACGCAAAGCTCTTGACAATTTTCTTTTTTTTTTTATTAAATTTTAAATTTTTAAATATGTGCCAATTTAAGAAAAAAAGAAATATTTGATTCGTTTCACTTTTTTTGGTACATGCAAATTTAAAGAAATATGAACTAAACTATTTGATACACTAGATGGAATATTTTATACTTTATATAAGTGTTTTTCTTTAAATTAATCCTAACATTCGCTTTTCAAAGAAAATCTTTAAAAGAACCTATTGAAATCGTCAAACTTTATGAGCAGTTAATATGGATTGCACATTTTCAAACCAAGTGCAGTTTAGCTGATTTTATGATAATTATAATGAAAAAATGCAATTGAATGCAATTAATTATTTAATTAAATTAATTAGATTAGTGTTTAGTGGTTACACCTTATAGTGTAATATGATTCCTATTTCTTTACATTATCATAGGGGGTGTCAAATAGAAGTTATCTCGGAAAAACGTAAAAAAATCAAGATTGACTGATTTTATTGACAAAGAAGCAACTTTTTCCGACAAGATTTTCCAATATCTTTAAAATTGTCAAGTGATGGCATCGCATAAGCCAGTAGAACAATTTTATCCTGGGAGACTAAAACATCTAAAAAATAACTGCTGTAGACAATTCAATTTAGGCTTTGAAGAAAACAGCACTTGCTTGTTTTTCGTTTAATTTAAGGTATATTTCAAGCAAAATTGTTCAATTTTCCGCGAAACCAGACCCAACAGATACTAACGGTTGATTGCCAAACATTTCCGTTACTCTGACAAACGGGAATTCTGCTAAAGGTAAGAGTGACCAAATTTTTAGTCCCCATTTATTTGTTAAGAAGTGATGTGAAGAAAGTAAATGGATATATTTTTCAAAATTTTATGATATAAAATGAATGCTCTCTAATCTGTTGTACAATATCAACGTTTTTATCATTTTGAATGCAACATCTACAGGTGTAATGAAATTCATTAGCTTTTACAGCGTTAAATCAAGGCTAGTAGTATAAAAATGGAAAAAAACTTTTGGAGAAAATAGTATATTGTTCTAAGAAAGGAATTAATAATTGTACGGATATTCTTGGATATTGTTAGTATAAAAATTATTTTTACTAAGCAGCTGTTTTGACGATTCACAATGATCGTATAATGGAATTGATGTGTAAGAACAAATAATTTATTGTAAACCATTTTTATTGTGGAGATTGGTAGAGCGAGGTTTCATTCTCTTATTCAAGAAGTTAGGGTTGGATTTTCTAACCAAGCTAATATGTTGGAAGATATATGCAAGGTTATTGGTAATCCGATACATTCCTTCGAAGGTGTAATAGAGAAAGAGATAAGAAGCAAATTTAACGCTAACATGCACTATACAAAATTTAATAGGTTTGGGATATTTCAATTATACCTCTTCCTTCAAAAACGTAAACCTTTATGGAAAAAGGATAGTATTCAATTTTTCCTATTTCAACTGGATTACTATGGGCTTATGCGTGAAATGAACAAAATGTCGAAAACTTTGTCTCATAGAAAAATTTTCAATGAAATGTATTAATTTTTTTCTTTTTAATAAGGTATCACAATTTCTTATTGACTATGTCAAAAAGTCTAACCAGCGTCCAAGCTGTACCAAAAGTAATGCATTGGTACTTTATTTTCACTTACTTATTCCCGCATATCAGCCATACGATAAGGAAGGAATATTGAAGCATTTTGAAGACCTCAAGTACTACAGTCTCGAGGCAAACCTAAGCAACATAATGGAAAGTATCCTTGAAAGGGTGGAAGAGGAATAAAATTCTGCCGTTTTTCTATTAAATTCAGGTAATAAAGGAAACTAGTTTCCAACGAAAGTTTTCTGTGAATGTGTGGATGGGCCCTATTTTAATAGGACCTCCGCTTGAACGTTATTGGATGGCTATTGCAATAAGAAAGTTTTACAAAATTTTGAAAGAAAGTTGGTAACTTAGTTTTTGAAAAAATAGCCCTTACGAATTTGTGATACCTTATTGAAAAAAAAAAAACAATTTAATACATTTTATTTAAAATTTTCCTATGATATAATCTTTCCGACATTTTGTTGCTCACGGTAAGTAACCCAAGTAATGAATTAGAAAAAAATAGAAAAGGCTTTTTGAAAATTAAAATGCTTCAAAGTTTTGTATAATATATTTTTTGTATAATATATTTTAATATATTATTTTTCCTATCGCACCTTCTAATGAATGAATCGAATTATCAACAACCTGGTATACATAAAAGCTAAGGCGATTTTGAAATACATAGGTTCTATGTTACCAAAATGGTATTTATAAAAACCTTCGTAGCATCTATAACATTATAAGTAATCGTAATTAAAAACTATTAGTGAACAAATGTCTACGGTACACTGGCGAGGAAAAAGTTTAGGTCACTCAGGAAATTAGAAATTTTTCGGACCGAATCGTAGATCTAGCAGGTAGTAAATTATTTTTTCTATTCCCGTCTGTAAAATACCTAATGACCCACCGATCTAGTGTGCCGGAAGGGTCACTTTACCACGTCAGTTTCGTTTCCCATGAATCCGATCCACTTCGGACATTTCCGGGATTTTACCGCACGGATTTGGAAGCGATCGGATGTTTTCGGAGATATTTCCCACGCTTTGAATTTTGACGTTTGTCAATTCTGACGGTCATGTCGGTGAATGTATTCGTGTTGTTTTGCGAAAATGTAGTCAAAAACTAAAGGTCGTAGAGAAAGTATAGATGGCATACTATATTATTGAATTTATATTTATATAATTAATTGGAAAATTGGTTTTCATAATTTTGTCGTAAAACAGAAAATGTCTAATATAAGGAAAGCAAAATTAATTTTTATTTGTAATTATAACAACTAGTAGCAATTAACAATATTGAGAAATCCTGAAAATTAAAAACGTGTAATCAGTCCTCTTGCGGTTAAGACTACTTGTAATCGACGAGGCATGCTTCGAATTAAATTACGGATTACGCTCTGGTCGATGTTGGATTCCTGCATTAGCAACTCGCTTAGCTCTTGGGCACTTCTTGGAGCTAGTATACGTCTTCGATTAGTTCGTCTCATCTCTTCCCACACTGACTAACAATTCCGGAGGTGACGGCTCTAGCATTATAGCACATAAAAATGACATCTTATCATCATATTATCATCCAGGATTTCCGTAATGTACCTGTGAGCTCTCAGAGAGCGGTGCTGTATAAAAACTCTGTGCGTGTTTCCGAACTGATTTCCGCCCAAACCATAAATGTATTAGCACCATGTGTTCAAGTCCTTTTTTCCAGGTCTCTTCGACATCTATCTGGTCCAATAAGGCAAAAAAGGAAAACAGTTAATGTTGCCATTCGCAGACAAGAGAATCCATTAGCACGAAGCCTTCTTTTGACAGTACATTCACTAAAATTAACATTTCTAACCTGTTGAAGTTGGTTTCGAAACCAAACAGCAGAAGATGTCCGGTTCCACACACTTGCGGACACGAAAAATCGATCATCCCTTTGGTTGGTAATCCTTCTACGACCTAATCCTGGTCTTCTAGTGACCAAGGCAATCACCTCGTAGCGTTGGTATACACCAACAATTCTGTGGGTTTCCGGTTTTCCTCGACCATCTTGTAGTAATGCTACACTTGTAGCCACACCAATAGGATGTAAATTCATTATGACCAGTAAAATACACCTTAGATTTAAAATACTGCAAACAAACAAAATTTTATGGCGATAAAAGAACCATACACTGGAAAGTACCCAACACACGAACTTTTAATTAAGTTATTTCATAAAAAGTCGAAAGTGTGCTGACAATAACTTGTAGCAAAAACCGACGATTCGGTGATTTTTTTTTCAACTTATTTCCAATTTTTGGAGCGATCTAGATTTTTTGCTCGCCTATGTACAGTTATAACCTCACTTTTCAGTTGTTGTTCATTTATTTGTGCGTAGAAGAAGTATGTTTGGGTTTCTATCAATATCTAGATATCATTTAGAATTAAACTAAACATGGTTTTGCATTTACTCCAGTCCCATCTTTGACGGTCGTTTCAAGTGCATGAAAGTCCAGGTTTTATACCAGATAAAAAGTCGCGCTTTCGCGACACTGTCCTAGTTTTTTGTATAGGATTTTTTCCGTAGAATCTAATAGAGTAATTTGTTTTTTACTTGCTCTAACCGTTTTTTAGTAATGAAGCAATGATATATATTTTTAAATGAACACCCTATATATTATTTTTTAAATTAATTGGAAATCATTTTATTTTTTCAAAAATGTATTTTAGTATAAAGTTGTTTGGAAAATGAAACCTAAAATTCCTTTTTTTTTTTGGCAAAAATGTTCTAGAAACTTCGGAATTATATCACAACAGATAAGGTTTTTAAAGGGACTTATAATTTTTATATTATAGGAACGTGTTTTCTTTCAAGCTTTCCAGATATATTTGCTCTTCTGAAAATAAATCTAGTTAGTTAGGCACGGATCATTTTTCAACCACGTTCTAAAAATTATTCGAAGGATAAGAGCTAGTAAAGAGAAAAAATGTATTAGGTTGCAAACACATAAAAAAGCAGTAGAGGTACCAAAATCGACTGCCCAAAGAATTTTTAAAATATACAATATATACTATACTATACAAGTTCAAATTTTAATCTTCATAACACGAGGAATTGATCGACAGAAAATGACCATTTAATTTTTGAAAGGCCCGACAAGGACGCTTTGGGGTTATTCATTTATAATTCTGGACTTTTAAGACCATTTTAAGATTTCAACTTACCTTAAAAATGGATAGGTACCGACGGACCTGTAAGATGGCCTCCACGATATCCGAAACTTTCAGTTATAGATTTTCTTTTTATGGGGATGTATGCAAAATAAAGTACAAAAAACTCGATACTAGGCTGTAGCAGAACTTCGAGGGGAAATTGATTTAACTTTCGGAACTCTAAATGACATTCAAAAAACGAGAAAAATGTACGAGTTTTGCATTCGAGAAAATGGTCTCTAATTTGAATAACAGTTTTAGGTATGATATTATGTTAATATTAATTTAATGTAACAATGTAATGTAATAATAATAAGTTGAAAATTATTGCAAATAGTAGATCATAACGTACAAAACAAATTTAAACAAATGAATTTTAAATTATTGAGTTCCTTGTATGTTAATAATTGTTTACTTGGATATAGTTTTTAATAGAATTATCATAAAATAATATAAAATTAATTAAATTAAAAATAAAATATGAAAAAGGTTTATATACTTTATTCTAATATATATTTCTGAAAAGCTTAGATGATTTCCAATTACCATAAAAAAATATGTAGAGGGTATTAAAGCAAATTACGTTTTTTAAACTGTCAATAACTTAAAATACAACGCAGACACGAGGGTGGTCAAAAAATCGATAGTTTCGGATTTCACCCTGTACCTCAAAAACCAACTGTGTAAAATAAAAACCCCAAAAATTGGATATCCGGTACTTCACGGGTTTTGCGAAGTAAACTATAAAAACACAAAACAGTAAAAGTCTTATTAATGCTGTATATTTATAAATTCTTATAAACCCGATATAAATACACGTGACCCTATAATAAAACATTAAGCTGCCCAAAATATTAGTTGGGGATAGCAATCCAAACCTCGAACCGTATCGGTGCCGAGCAAATAACTAAAATAACAGCGGTTAACCGGAGTGTCCCGATAATCCGGGGTTATCTGCTGATTAAACACGCAGATTTCGGCCGCATTGTTTGCATTTCCGCAATCCGCATCCAATATGTCGCGGCATTGTTCGGTTAGCAGTATCGAGTCAACATTAGAATCCGCAGTATATGCGAATTTTGCACGTTTTAACGCGTTTCCCGTCTCGTTCCAGGCTCCAGAGTCAACCAAAATAGACTGTTAGAGTTCAAAGTCAGTCCAGAGACTAGCGGGCAGATGGGCCAGGAGTTCCGCGTCAGGGAGGCGGTGCTGTGGCTCAAGGCGGACATGTTGGGCCGCAGTTTCGGCAAGTGCCGTTCGACGGACATATTCGTTTTCAAAATCATATCCAATAGATTGCCGGAGTCAGTGACGCTTAGTTCTAATGTAAGTACGACCGCTGCGCCTGTACAGAGTGTGTCAAATTTGACACTATTATTGCAGATGGGTATCAGATATCAGATATCAGGGAGTTAAAGTCTGTTCATAGATATATGAAAGTGACTAACTGATACGAATTAAGGAAAAAAGTTGTAAGAATGAAATAGCGCCGGTGTGGTTTTTTTAGGAAAGATACTAAACAATATTTATTTATTTATGTATGTATTTATGTTTAAATCTAAAATAAAATTACAAATTATTTTTATTACCTACTTTAATTACTTAAAATTATTCACATAATATAACAGTATCACTATCGCTATCATCGCCTGTTCTAATTATTATTTGTTCTACATTATTTGCAATATGGATATACGATTGTTCTGCTTTTTCTATATGTTTAACAGAATTTGCCTAACTTTGTGGAACCATGTTAAAAAATCCGGTTTCTATAAGTTTGAGGACATTGGAGTTAACACGGGGAAAAACATTGTTACGACGAATGGCAGATTTCAGTGGATGCCAAATATGTTCAATGGGATTAAATATACAGTGGTAAGGTGGAAGCCTTAAAACTGTATGCCCTAGATTTTTTACATAATTATCACAGATGTATCCTTTTGTAGGATCAAGCTTTTTAGAACCTCAATTAATTGCTTTTTGGTAAAATCTTCGTGAAAATAAATGTCGTTATTATACATGTAGTTTTGGATTGTTGCTTTTGTGTCACATGATGATAACTTGCATTGTCCATTACAATGACGCTATTAGGAGGAATGTTTGGAACTAGTTTGTTTTTAAACCAACTTTCAAATAAATCAAATAATCCAGAGAAAAATCTTTAATATTTTTCGCGGACAGAGAAAGTCAATTTGGAATCCAATCATTTTTAGAGCCAGCATGCAAAATAGTTATTCTTTTACCTCTTTTTGATGGCGCGTTTGTTTTAGACTTATCAGTTGAGTCAACGCAACCCAACCAGGTTTCATTCAAGTAAATAATTGGCCTTTGTTGTTGTCGGTAAATCCTAATTTTTTCTAGATATTCCAGTCGTCATTTCCGAATTCTAAAAGATTCCATTAAAACTTGCCTTTTGTCAATTTTTTTAATTTAAAACCCATGTGTTGAATACACTTTCATAAGGTAGTTCTGCCACATTTAACACCGGTTTCATTTTTTTCAAACCTCCTAATTAAGATATCTAATGTAGGCATACCTTGTTCCTCGTATAACAGGTAAATTTTAACCCGTATTATATCTTGATCACTTTCATCTACACTCGAGAAAATGTCAGCATCGCTTCTTCATTCCTCCCTGAAATGGGATTATTCACAATTTTCCTTACAGTTGCAGAATAATTACTAATAAACTTAAACTAAGTAGTATACCAAACCAAGGAATATTAAACATAGGTAGGTAAAAAAATTATTTTCTATTACGGACCACAATTTTACCTGAATTTAAATTCTGAAACTTTAGGTAATAATCTTGTTGCATTATATGTTATTGACCACACTTGGATAATCCCATTCAAAAGCAATTGGTCACTTTCTTATATCTATGAACAGACCATACCCTTGACAATGTAAGTTCTGAATTTCTCCTTGTCTCATCAGGTGTACCGCAAGGTTCAGTCCTTGGACCTATATTATTCTTAATTTATATTCCTGATATTTATATATCCATCATGTTTCAATCTGGATTTGCATAGCTTATTTCTATATTCTTCTAGGCATAATCTTCAACTTAATGCTAAAAAATGCAGTGTAATGTTCTTTTATCCTAAACCTAACATTGAACAAGTATCCCAAATGAATTTACTAATTAACGGTGAACGCTTAAAAGTTGTGAATTGTAATAAAAACCTTGGATTTATATTTGATTGTGGAACAGGTATCTTTGTTGATGAAAAAGTCTTATTTCATTTTCCGCCATTTATACAGGCATAGAACTGTCCTTAATTTCAGTTTACGAAAACTTTTAGCTCAATCACTTGTCCTTCCGATTGTGAACCATGGTTTAGTCCTCTATTACCCATGTCTTGATAGTATCAAAAAAAAATTAATAAAAATTGAAATTACTTTCAAGTACTTTTTGGGGTCTACGGTTTTGCAAATTATTAGCGCATCCAATCCGTTCTACTTACGAGCTAAATTACAGTTTCGTAATGTTCAATCAGTGGCTTTAAGGTACCCCTACAGACTCTCGCTGCCACGATATCGTTTATTTTTGTTCCGCAGATCATTTTTTTTATAACGCTATTGTAATTTTTATTAGTATACCCGATTCAGTAAAATCACATTCAATTAAATTCTTTAAAAAATATTTCCCGTTGAAACTAACATTTTCTCAAATAATTTGATTTTTAATGTTATTCTTTTTATTTTTACTTTTAATACCTGTCTATTGTTTCATATTACTATTACATTTATCTATTATACTATATTAAATTTAATTTAATTAAGTGGAGTGGCTTTTGCTAGACTTCGCCTCTTCTCTACTGTATATTTGTATATAACATTATACAACAATAACGGGACCTTTATTATTTATAATATTTATTAATGATATATCTGATTCTTTCCCAGACAATTATGTTTCCTTATATGCCGATAATACTGCTGTGACAATATCCTCTAGGAGTCTGGAAAATCTCACTTCCTTGGCCACTAAGGCAGTAAGTGGTATGACCCGATATTGTGAGCGTAACGGTATTTGATTGAGTGGGACATAAATGATTGAAATGAGCAATAAGAAATTCGAGGGTAACTGAGTGGTGTTAATAAAAAACAATTTTTAACATCAAGAAAGAAGCAGGACAAAACAAAGGCGGATTTAAAAATCCTACCTCTATAAAAAAGCGTACAATTTCTAACTTTATTTGTCATTTATAAAATTATTCTACGTGATAGGGATTTGGCAATTTTTTTTAAGTACCTCAGGTAGATTATTGAAAGATATAGGCAGGTATTTAAGGTCGATCAAGAAACATCACAGACAAAATTGAAGTATCACCGATTTAGACAAGAGTTGGGTCAATGTGGGTCATACGATTAATTATGCTTGGTGCCACAACATCAGAATAGATCGCAGAGACGCATTTTTAAAGGTTATAACATCAGGTCTTCAAGAAAAAAACATTTTTGTTGACGACTTCCACTTGAAGTCAGTCAGAAATGAGTGCGGCAAATATGAAATAAACAAAATAAAAACACGCTCAAACATGGAGGTATAGAAAAGCGATTCATGTTCTGTGCTTGGTTTCAAGAAGTTGAACGACATTTTCTATCCAAGGAGAATTTTATTCAGTGAAGACGCAACATTTACTTCTAATGAGGTTGTATATTCCAAAAATCGTCATTGGTGATATTTCAGAACGAATGTTTGGTGCGGTATTTTAAATAATGAGAGAGTGGTCAATGCTTTTCCTAAGAACTGAAAACGGGCAGCATGTGCGGAGGAGATCATTTTGTTTTACTTTTTATTGTCAAACTAGACCACTTAAATTGTAATTCTATTTTAATCTATCAGAAAAGTAATTATCTTTGGTCGTGTTTTTATCGCAAGACTCTTAGTTTTGAAGATATTCCGGATGTCTTTTAATTATTTTAAATGCTTTGCTTTTTGAAGCCACCATTCAAATATTCCTTTGTAAATTTATTTTCTCAACAAGCAAGATTTATATCCGTTCATTTATTCCATGTTATGTCAGTTCTGTACCGTATAACGCTCAATTCTGTTCCACAAATATATTCAAATAACTCACTAAAATTCTTCTTCTTATTTTAAGACTATGTCTTGTGTTTCCAAGGAAGCAGCCTAAGTTGTAACTCCGAGGTCCAGCTCTCATACCAGCGCTTTGGTGGTCTTCCACTAGGTCTGCTTCTATTGGGTCTCTCTTCCTTTGCGATTTTCGCCAGTCGATCGTCTTCCATGCTCTTCTTCTAGTTCTGACCCATCTCACTACATCCGGAACGTCACACATTCTTCTAATTTCATTGCTCCTTATTCTGTCTCTTAGCGTTTTCCCTGTGATTGAGCGTAATGTCGTCATTTCGGTCGTTCTAAGAATCTGTTTAGTAGCTGCAGTCTCCGCCCTCGTTTCTATGGCGTATGTCATAACTGGTCTAACACAAGTTTTATATATCCGTGTTTTGCTTTCGATACTTAAGTATTTATTCCTCCATATCACGGTTACTTCTTGTTTCAGGTTCCTATTGCTCCTGATGTTAACCCCTAGATACTTAAAAGACATAACCTGCTCCACACTTTTATTATAAATTGCCAGTTTGCATCTTCTGGTTTCTCTCGCTATTGTCAAGGATTGTGTCTTCTGTGTCGATATGATCCTATTGAATTTTCGTGCAGCTGTTTCGAATCTGTGTAGTAGTAGCAAATTATCTTAAACTCATGTTTTCCCATTCTGTATCCTCTGCCTGCAGTTTTGACTTCTTCTATTATTTCGTCCATTATAATGTTGAAGAGTACTGGACTGAGGCTATCTCCTTTTCTGATCCCTGTTGATACTGATATTTTACTGGACAGTTCATTGTTTACCCTTACATACGTGCTATTTCCGCTGTTCATGTCCCGAATGATGTCTATTGTCCTTTGGTTTACGTCTCGTTCTTTTAGCAGCTCAATGACGTCATGTAATCATGTAATCACTAAAATTATTTATCAAAATTTAAACATTTTTGCTTTTCATTTCTATTCATAGGCCTGGTACCCATTTTCAGTATCTATCGCATTATTTTATAAAGTAGACCTAAAATTTTCTACTTTCCAAATATTGATTAATATAAGACTTAAATGAGACGTGCTTTATGAAATATCGTGTATTTTTACCCTAATTAGTATAGACAAACAATGAACACACTGTATATTTTGATTTCAGATGAAAGTCGTTGTAAACCTTATTTCCAAAATATGTCGGTATTTGTTTTAGCCATTTTTGACTTAATAATAATAATAACAACAATAATAAAGGCCTCTATTGATACAAAAAAAGTTAAAATGGTAGAAATAAAATGTATATTAGCTAATACTCTAGGCGTTTCAGTTGAAAGAAAAAAACCTTAATGCATCAGTTCCTAAACTGTCTGTTCAGCTAACCTATGAGTTGATTTTTAAACCAGACACAAAAATTATATTATTTATAAAAAAGAATAACAATAATTTTTCAAAAAGACTTCCACATGCTACTATAATACTTTTCACAAAAATTCCTGGATTCCTCCTGCGTCTGTTTTTGTTGAGTCGAACTTGCTACCGTTTCGCCAATCATCCTGTTGGTTTCTTCAGAACTTCAGAACAGATTGCTGAGTCCCATATTAGTGACAGAGTTGAGTCGCGGTTAAGATTGTTAGATCGCTTATAGATTTCTATAGACTCTCGGATATTTTCGTTGGTAGAAGAATTTATGTCCGGTTTTGTGACTGTGTTTGGCAACGGCTGATGAGTTTACTTGTCTTAGTCTTAAGGACCTTTCAAGTTGTTTAAACCTAGTTGCATCTATGCTGATATTGAGAATGAACAAATAAATAGGTACTGATTGTCAAGAAGAGTGTGTGAACATTATTTACTAATTTTACTTCTTACTAATCTTATAAACATTGCGGCGATTTATGCTATGACAGAGTAGGACAAGAATTTGGGTTTCACCTAATATGCTAAAAAGATGTCATTTAAATCTGTATAAGGACCAACTTAGGAATTGGATATATCTGTTAATAGATTCAGATTCTAGATTGTGACAGGCAGAAATGTGCCTGTCCGTCACTGCGGCCCAGAGGATCTATCGTGATTCTCTCCACAGCTATAGCGCATTTGACATGATTCACAATTGAAGAGTGTCCAAGGAACCTTCATGCTTTGATCATTGGCCTATTAAGTTTGATATTACAGTCCCCATATCGAAAGCAACACCGTTCAGAAATCCCCAGTACAGAAAATGGGAAGGATACTCAGCAAATCTTGAGGAACGTCTACAGAGGATGACGTTTGAAATCAGGAATGTGGGGCAGAAATCTGTTGAGCAAGGCGATAACCTAGGCAGATCATCAGAACTGTCTAGAAAAACCTGCAATCAAAAAACAGTTTGGTGGAACGGGAAACTCAGGAAACTAAGAGATACGGTGAGAAGTTTAGTCATTATGATACGAAGAAAATTTACCAGCACTATGTACGAGAGAAGCCAAAAGGCTATCAAAATCGTGGATAACTGGTGTCAAAACAACTTACAGTTAACCCGAAGAAAACAAGAGTTGTTCCAACAGACGAGTCCTCACACTGAAACCGATAGTACAAGCAAACAAAGTATTTAGGAGCCACATTCTCAAAGGCTTACTTGGAAAACGCACATTTAAAGTATCGCACTTAGGGCAACAAATGTGCTAGGAAGGTGCAGAAGAAAAACTGGGGCCTAAACACAAAACTGACACTATGGCTATATTTAATAGCAGTAAGACGAATTATAGCGTACGTAGGTAGCAGTTGTTGGGTGTTGGATGGAGACTGTAAGACAGCTGAGTAGCATGTAAAGGCTAGGGAGTCAGTCTGTGCCAAAACCAATACAGATCTATATACAGATCTGTTAATAGCGTTTGCAATTGCAAATGAAAATGGACGTTTGTAAAACCTTGATAAATGCTTGGGAACCAGAATTGTATATTTGTGGCTAATATAAAGATGATGGTCATCAGTTCTAAACTCAGTTTATTAGAAAGATATGGTGGAGATCTTAAATTAATAACTATGTGATAAAAACAAACTGAATGAATTAACCTTCTATGCTACATACAAAGTTTAATTTTCTGACAAATTTTCTGAGATTTTTTACTCCATGTATTAGTCGGAGAATTTTGTATTTTTTGTATGCGTTCAGTATCTGCAACAGTTATACAATAATTATAACACAATAGCCAAGACTTAGGAGTCATATAAGAAGTATTTTTAAAGATTTAAGAAAACGTCTATTTTGAAATATGATTTTTAATTTCCTGCAAGCTTTTTGTAGACATTTGTAAACATAAACTGCGAATCTTGGGTCTTCGCCGGTATGTAAACCCAGGTTTTTAACAGATGTAATTACCATCAAAAATAATTCCCACGGATTTGCTGTTATCAAGGTTTAAACAATGTTCTTTCGAAAATTCGTCTATTTAACTCAAATTATAATTTATTGTTACCACTACTTGCTGAGATCCTTATTGTTTAAACGTAACGTGCAGTTAGCTGTGTATCATCTGCAAAAAAGTGATAAGAACATGACAAAAAGAAAGTGGAAAATTTAAAGCATAAATTGAAAATACTTCAGATCCTGGGGACTCCCTTTTTCAAATCCTAGAATTTAGAAGTTTGATGTCTATAATTTGATAGCATAACTATAGCCTCATTATAAAAGCTGATATAGTTTAATATATGTAGCTTAGTAAAAGATGATTTAAAGTGTCCTTTGTGTAGAGTTGAGCAATATAGTAACTGCAATAACTGCCTTTTTGCAACTGTTTAGCCAGAATTGTTTTGAGGTAATATTTTATTCTTCGCCAAAGGCTTTTCAATTTATCGGTGTAAAGGTTTTTCAACAATCTTTCAAAGGTCTTGGAATATGAAAAATTATTAGAAACTTTGCGAGTTTACAATACAAAAATTAATTATATGAGTTATGTATATTAATAATAAAGTTAAACAATTCATTGGTAAGTATGTCCAGCCACAAATTGATTGTTCAGTATCAGCTGGAAGATCAGGTATGAAGTTCAGAAAATGACTATTAAGCTCATTGACGTTCGATAACTCCGACTAATAACTCTCTTGTGGAAGTTGCATGCTTGTTATTTTACAACTTCGTATTTTGTATAGCTTTAAATTATACCATAACCCTTTTGGTTTCTTTGTGTTAAATTTTTACCTATGAAACTCTTTTTTCTCTCGTTTATAAAACTTTCTACTTCAGTTAAAGTATAGAGGGCGTCCTATTTTTAAAGAAGGTGATGATTTGCTCAGAAAATAATAGAGAAAAAATAATTGTACTGAAGTGGCTTTTACTTGATGAAACTCCATTTAAAATAGTTAAATAAGAACAAATGTTGTTCAGATTTTCACATAAATATATTTAAATAATAATTCATCCTATTTATGAAAGGTTTATAACCAGGCCTTCTAATAAACTCTGCAGTAGTACATAGTACGAGTCCGCATAAACTGAGGTCGATTTTGATTGCAGCAATTCGAACGAGTAACGGACGAACCCGTATCGATGGCCCTGGACGAGTCGCGAAGCGGCTGGCAGAAGATAGACCTGACCAAGACTGTTCGAAACTGGCTGTCCGAAACGAGTAACGAGAAGCTTAGGCTGTTCGTGGATTGCAGCTGCTGCGCCCACTGGCACATACACCTCTTCAACGATGAGAGGGACAAGAGGTCCAGCGCAAATCGCCCGTTCTTGGTGATCCACACGGATCCCAACACGACGAAGAGAGTGAGGAGGAGAGCAATAGACTGTTCAATAGATTCAGGTAGATTTACTGCTTGTTTGGTTAGTTTTGCTATTCCGCTGCGTTTGTGGTGGCTATTTATTTCTTTCATTTATAATGAATTCCACGGACAGAATCTATTTTTAGACAAACATTTTCTGTTGCAAAAGTAAAAAAGTAAAAGTAAATGCTCATCTCACAAGTTAATGTTTCAAAGACTTTGTGATTTGATATTTCTCATATTTTTTAACTAATAGACAATTTTTTTTTTGTTTTTATCGCGCAACATTTTTGAATTAATTATTGACATGTCATACTTATTGTTTTAAAAATAGGAACATCACAGTACGTTCCAAAAATTGAAATTATTGGCGGGGATTCTCCGAAAGTAATATAGCTTCTGCGATTCCCTAATATGTGATAAAAACATAGCTGCGTTTGTTGTAGGCAGTTGTTGCGCGAGGTTAGTGACTTAAATTTCTTTTTAAAATGTCATGACTCAGTAAAACGACCCACATCATAGAAACGGAGCAGGAATTTTTATAACACCGGAAATTGAGAAGCATGTACTTAATTTTGTTCCAATAAGCGACAGGATACTATTAGTACAACTAAACGCATCTCCATTTAACATCAACCTAGTACAGGTATATGCTCCTACATCAGAAAAACAACATGATAACGAGGTGGAAAACCTATATAAGCAACTTAGTGTACTACTGAAAAGCTTAAAAACTAATGAAATCACGTATATAATGGGTGATTTTAATGCCAAAATTGGCAAAGGCAAAAGATCAGATCTGGTTGGGGAATATGGTCTAGGAGAGAGTAATGCACGAAGAGAGAGGTTGTTTGATTTTTGTCAAGAATACAATATGGTAGTAAGAAACACATGTTATAGCTTTTCAACACAGGCTATATACTTGGAGAGCCCCTGGAGAGAACCCAACATACATAGTGAGAAATCGAATTGACTACAACCCTTTAGTCGCCGCCGTAAGAGTTAAATTAAAACGGATAGAGAAGAAACACCAGCAAAATAATTACAGTATTTCAGACGTCAACAAAAGTAAAATTGAAAAAGATGTTAATCATTACATGAGAGAAATGAAAACTACAGAAAATGTTGATGAAACATGGGAATTATTCCGTAAACATATGACCAAGATATTAGAAGCACATGGAGGAACAAATTGACACAAGAAACAGAAATGGATGACAGAAGAAATATTGGACCTTATGGAACAAAGAAGACAATACTAGAACAAAGCAGTAGAATACAAAAGGAAACCAAGAGAAGTAAAACAAAAAATACGAGCGGTTAAGGAGAAGTGGATGACGGATAGATGTTCTAAAATGGAATAATTTGAAAAAAAACATGTACAAGAAAGTTAGGGAAGTTGCTGGCTTATATAACAAAAAGGCTGCTAATACTATAGTGGATAATACAGGAAAAAACTGTTGTTGATGAACAAGGAATCCTTGAGATATGGAGTAAATACGTAACCGAAATGTTTGAAGACGACAGGCCAAATATACAAGATAATGTAAATCAAGATGAAAGACCAGAAATCTTAAAATCGGAAGTTCTACATGCTATAAAAACAGCCAAACCCAAGAAAGCAACGGGACCAGACAACATTCCAACAGAGCTCTTGCAGATGATCCACGAAGTAAAATACCCGAGGAATGGTTGAAATCTGTTTTTATAGCCCTTCCGAAAAAACAACAGGCGAAGAGATGCGATGAATACAGGTTAATTAGTCTCATGAGCCACACACTTAAGATCTTCCTTCGCATAATACATGTAAGAATAAGAAGCCGGTGCGAAAGGGATATAGACGAAACCCAATTTGGTTTTAGAAACGCACTTGGAACCCGCGAGGCACTTTTTGCCCTAAACGTCCTTCTACAAAAATGTCGTGACCAATGTAAAGACATCTATGTGGCTTTCATCGACTACGAAATAGCATTTGATGGGGTTCAACACGATAAGCTTTTTAATATATTAAGGACCTCAGGTATCGATGGTAAAAATCTACGTATCAAAGAGAACTTGTACTGGAACCAAAAAGCAGTGGTACGATTCGATGGAAGATTAACCCGCGAATGTTGCATTCAACGAGGAGTCAGACAGGGATGCATTCTCTCCCCGCTATTATTCAACCTTTACTCAGATGTGATTTTTAAAGAGGCTCTACAAGATAAAGACCATGGAGTGAAGATCAACGGCGAACTGATTAATACTATTCGGTATGTCGACGACACGGTAATCTTATGCGATAGTATCCAAGGCCTTCAAGAGCTGTTGGATTGTGTAAACACGACAGGACGGAACATGGGTCTAAAAATGAATGTCGCTAAATCAAAATTTATGGTATTCATTAAAACATTGAGAGAGTTACCCATTACAGATATCTTGGATGCTATATCACAGAGCAACTAGATTCAGATAAAGAAATCAAATGCAGAATAGAAACAGCTCGCACAACTGTTCTGAAAATGAAACCATTCTTCTGCAATGATAACTTAAATCTCAAATTGCGCCCAAGAATGATCAAATGCTATATTTGGTTTGTGTTGTTATATGGTGCAGAGACTTGAACTCTCAAGACCAAGGCAATGTGGTTGCATAGAAGAATGCTCTGAAAATCATGGACCACTCTGCAGACCAACGAAGCAGTTTTAAATAGAGCAAGTGCCGTCCGTGAGTTGTTTAACACAATCAAAATACGAAAAATATCGTACCTGGGGCATGTTCTTAGAGGGGATCGCTACAAACTCCTTCAACTCAAAATGCAAGGCAAAATCGAAGGTCACAGAGGTGTTGGAAGAAAACAAATGTCATGGCTAAAGAACATCTGGGATTGGACCGGAATACGCAGTGCCGACCAACTATTCAGATTAGCTGAAGACCGTGAAATTTAGACGTAAAATTGCACCACATAAACGTAAACCATACTGCGCTTATTTTTAAATAAAAATTTTTTATTACGACAAACCCCTGGGCGCCACATGTTATTTGCAAGGTATATGAAGAAGCTTTAGAAGATTGGAATAATGCACCCATACCATAGCTACCTTTTAGAATACCTATGATATGGAGAGAGCCGACAAATCACCATGGTGACTGTTCTTTCTGCATGTGCAATCCTAAAAATTTGAAAAACGTTGAATAACAATTACCTAGATGTCCTAATACCTGACGATCCAGCCAATTTAGAAGACGATAGCAGTAGTTTTTCTGATCTTAAAATAGATGAAGTTACCCTTAGTGATGTTGGTGATATAATAATAATAATTATAATAATAATAATAATAAACTGTCTTTATTGAAAATCAAAAAATTGCCATATAAGTAATAATACACTACTATAAGAACAACAGCACTAACACGCTAATTGTCAATAAAATACACACCCGTATATACATCGTAAATACAAGTAGACGCACATCATAAACTCATACGCTTTTGCTAGATATTGGCGGGCCTAATAAACAATATCAACGCTTTTTTGAAGGACTTTATTAAAAGATCTCTGGAAAATTACCGAAGTGTGTCTAGGAACGCAATATCGTAAACAATGACGCGTGTCTCGATTATGAATATCATTTCCTCTGCAAAGTTTATCAAACAAGTACGACAGGGTCTTGTTGGGGTTTAGTAAAAAAACAAAAGTGGTTAACTGAACTTTATATCGGTCCTCCAGGTTGAGCCAACCCGAATCAGAGAGGCACTGTGAAATATGGTCATAGAAGATTGTAACTAAAACGAATACAAACATTCTGAAGTCGTTGAAGTCTCTCCTTATCTCGAACAAGTATGGCTGGAGATTAGACAATACTGCAATAAGGGACAAGGGATAAAACTAACATATCACAGAATTTAAGTTTGTCTTCTTTATCGAGAAAATGTTTATGAATATACAGTGTCCTCAACTTATAGAAGGATTTTTTGTAACACCGCGCCAACTTGCTTAGAAAACCGCAAGTCACCGTCATTTAGCGTAATCTTAAAAGAGGCGTTTTTTACCTTTTATTTCCAAATAATAACATCTGCGTTTTGTTAGTATTCAATAAAAGGTTATCAGCCGCAGATACCTCCGAAATTATTTTTAAATCTAAATTTATTTTAGTAGCGGCATTCAAAGCTTCACTAGCAACAAAAGATAAATATAACTGAGTATCATCGGCGTATTGATGAGATTTGCAAAATTTAAGAAAAGTAGAGAAGTCAGCTGTATAAACTGACAACAGAATAGGTCCCAGAATTCTCCCCTGGGGAACACCCCTCTCCAAAGCCTTAATGAGTATTTTCTATAACTACCCTTTGTTATCTCTGACCAAGAAACTTTTTTTAAAAATGAAAGAGCAGTACGTTTTATCTCGAAGAATTCCAGTTTAGCTAGGAGTAGGAAATAATCCAAGGTGTCGAACGCTTTGCTATAGTCCAAGAGTATGAACCAAGAGTTTAATTTAGAATCCGCTGCTCTCAATAAATGATCAGTAACATGAAGCAAGGCAGAAGTAGTGCTGTGAAGAGGTCGAAAACCAGATTGAGTGTCGGGGGAAGATTTTGCTATCGCATAGGAACTGACGAAGTTGTTTAGCTGCAATTTTTTCAATAATCTTTGAGATAGTTGGCAACAAACTGATTGGTCTAAAATCGTTAATGTCACTTGGACACTCTCTCTTTGGAACGGGTATAATTTCAGCTTGCTTCCAAGAGTCCGGAAAAACCCAAAAAAAAAAGAAAAATCGATGAAATCGAATTTTTCGGAAGTATCTGCGCTCGTATAAAAATTTTATATCTCGGTAACGGTAAGTATTACGGGATCGCCGTTGGTACAGAAATGATCACAGACGAAAAAAAAATATTTTTTTTCTGTCCGTTCTCCGTTCTCTTGTCTCTGTTCTCCGTTCTCGTCTTTTGGTTTTCCCTGAATAACATTCGAACCGTCGGAGCTATAAAATTGAAATTTGCCTCCCTTTTAACCCTCCACGAGGCACATAACTTATAAAAAATGGCTCTGATCCGACGC